AATATCATTATGTTTCGACCAATGGCCTGCAATATAAAAACTTCAAAGGCGCGATCGTGAGAGCGGGGAATACGGCAGCCCCTAGCAATGCTCGCACATGGTCACATCTCAGCGCTACTGTCCGTTTGTACAGTTGTTTGCAAATTCTATATTTACGGTTCATTGACCTCTTCAATTCTTGGATGTTAAGAAGTCAAAGTGAGAGAGTGCTATGAAGAATAGGCCGATGTCATAGTTTGCGAATCGAGCGATTCGCTAGCGAATCGCTGGATCCGAGCGTTGCGCCAGCGAATCGAACGTTGCACCAGCGAATCGAACTTTGCGCCAGCGAGTCGAACGATGTACCAGCGAGTCGAACTAGGTACCAGCGACTCAATAGTGGCGGGACCCAACGTAAAGGAAGCCCGCCACCTTCAAACAGTGTCACGTGACAGTGGACGCTGCTTGAAAGTGGCGGGACTTTGCGGGACTCCCGTTTGAAAGCGGGCTTCCTTTAAACGTTGGTCCCGCCACTATTGAGTCGCTGGTACCTAGTTCGACTCGCTGTACATCGTTCGACTCGCTGTGCGGAAGTTCGATTCGCTGGTGCAACGTTCGATTCGCTGGCGCAACGCTCGGATCGAGCGTCGCATGAATCGTTATATACTCGATATCGTAGTTGGGTGGGGTGCCATCAGGAATCGCGTGCACTTGAGAACTATATGGATAAGCGCTTCCAACAGAAAAAAATAAAAAACAAAAAAAAAAAAAAACCCAAAAAAAAAAACAACATACATCGCTGGCTATCAGCAAAGCATGCTGGCAACAGATTATCCACGCACTTCTATCAAGTGCACGCCACTTCCGATGACACACCCACCCCAACTTTCGGATCGACTGTATTTGAAACGAAACTTGCACTGGCAAATGCATTGACCGCCTTTCTATAGCGGTGACAAAAATCTGCGAATGGCCGAAAAATCGGCTGCTCATTAATTTGAAGGCGCATCATCGGTAAGGGGGGGGCATGTGATGCAATGTCAAGTGGCTGCCGCTCAAACCCTCCACCAGAGTCATCTACTTTGTTACTACTACAACGGGGCGTCCGGGGGTGGTATCTATTCACGCGTGAAAGTACTTATGAAGTTGTGGAAGTGGAGTTTACGATAGTGAGCTAGATGATATGAGCCGACGGAGAAAAAATTTGCCGTCAGCGCCTTAATATACCTTTCTGAAAAGAAAGCAAGCGGATTAAAGTAAAAGTGGGGTAAATTGATTGAACTTTAGGAGTTTGGTAAATTTATTCTTTGTAGTGGGATCTACCCCCCCCCCGCCGAAGCAAATTTTTTGAAAAAAGTACGAACGATTAGGTACTGACCTTTGTTGAGTCTGTGCTCTCACTGCACCCCCTACCATGACGACTTCATTCCCCCTCGCTCACTGCCCCCTCGAAAACCTGTGCGCAACGGAATGTAGCGTCTAGGGAGGAGGGTTAGGCACTACTTGATCCCCTTACGATGAGCGCCGATCTTAAAGTCGAGTGAAAGAGGTTGAATGGTCTAAGAAAAACCGTAATGGGAGCAGCCAAAAATGAACCCAAAAAGGCTACTCTTCCCGCCGAATTCTGCTTTGGACAGCGGACTATGAGGCTGCTGCATGCATAATCTCCATACCCGTACGCCGAGTGCGCTCAGGGTGGCTATCATGCCAGTTAGCATCATCCTTTCCTTGATAGCAAATAGCAAAGAACAAAAAGATAGGGCCACCTGTCATGATATGCACTTCCAAATATGAATGTTAAAGTACGGCCGAGGGGTGGCTAGACCACGACAGGCGGCACTGGGCAGGGTTGGGGTTAGCTAAACGGCGATGGCTCGCCTTACGCGCCGATTCATGTCTCTACTCTCTTCCTCGTTGGCTTTTAGTATGCACACCTCCCCGCTTCTACAACTATACCATTACGTAGCGTCCTCTTCAAAAAAAAATGTATTGCCATTTAAAGAGGCATCAAAAACGGCAAAAACGCACAGGCACACAGCGTTCCATTGGCGAACTCATAATGGTGACTGGTTCGAAACAAACCTCATAATAGGCGGCGGGTCACGATCGTCATGAAATTTTTATTTTTATTTTTATGATATTCCATCGAGGTTGCTGTACGGAATATTTATGGAAAGGTAGAGAAAGGAGCTATGCAGGTAAGTGGGCATCACTCAGGTACATTGAGAGAGATGGTCTATTCGGAGGCATTGAGAACTTTCAACTGAAAGGCGAAGTCCAGGATCAAACTGATGTATTATTGTGTTTGCAAGTGACAGTGAAGACGTGTGTAACGCTAGTAACGAAAAAACGGGGAGAAACCGTCGACAAGGACTATAATAAAGCCCCGTCTCGAGTAGAGGCGTAGCCAACTTGCATTGATTTGTGGGTGGGCTCATGGCGTTTATGTTGGGCGGAGCCACTGCTGCATCCTAGGGCTCTACAAGGGAGGTCGTTCAGGGTGTGCCAAGCTTTTTCAAAACGGTTTTTTGCATGATATTGGGGCACATATGGGAACCACAGAACCATGGTTCATTTTTCCTGAACGGCCCTCTGAATACCAGAAAAGGGGTCCCTAGTTCGATTCCTCGTGGTGACAAATTTTTGCATTTCGAGTTGACGTTTCAAAATTCGCGCAAAATGGAGTTAGCATGAATAATTAGTACCATATTCATGATTAGGACCGTCAGTAACCCTTACAAATAGACTTTGATTGAAAAACTGGTGAAAAGGTGTGACTAGGGACCCCCTTTTCTGGTATTCAGAGGGCCGTTCAGGAAAAATTAACCATGGTTCTGTGGTTCCCGCATGTGCCCCTATATCATGCAAAAGACCGTTTTGAAAAAGCTTGGCACACCCTGAACGACCTTCCTTAGCGCCTTGACCTTGTCAAATCATCCCGAAAGTTGTTGCGTGCTCCTTGTATGGGTACTACTGCATTTTTCGGGGAAGGCCTTTATTTCCACGAGAAGTCCCGGGCCTTACCTTGAACAACCTCTAAAGCACATTAACACGTTGACGACCGTGTGGTATGATGTCATACCACACTCTTTCGGCCACGTGGGACCGTGTGACATGATGTCATGTCACAGTCTTTTTTAAGCTGGTTTTCAAACATTTTAGGTAACTTATTTACGTGATGTATGCGCCATACTTAGGCATTGTTACAAAAGGCGTGGTCCCTGGAAAGAAGCTTCGGTTAATGGGCTATCGAGTTTTTCAAAAATGTTTGAATAATGATCAGTAGCCGCAGTTTTTGGGCTTAAGCTAAACTAATCGGAACAAAAAATGTTTGCAATAATAATTTGCTGCAATGGGTAAGGACACTTTTGGTAGGAGACGAAATATGCGCGTCCTTTGATCCTGCATAGTTGTAGCCGCTTCTGCGTTGTCTGGGAACGTTTTCCTTTCCCTCCGTTCCTCCTTTCCCGCAAATCCTCGAGTCTGTGAGTGGTTTTCGACATGTAGGTCGCACGTATATATACGGCACTTCCATTACCTAAGAGGGGGTCGCAACTGGACCCCCTTGAGATAAGGGGGTGACCCCCTTGAGAAAAGGGGGTCGCAAAAACCCTGAAAATGTTCGAACGTGACGGTTGACCCTGCTCCAAGGAGTTTGCAAGCTCACGAAGCAGCTTCCTTCTACGGTCGC